CCTAAAGGACATTAGTGAACGACATGGGTTTTTGGATTCATGGTCGTCATTAGATTCTTAATTCCAGATCCCCCCCATGGCAGGATTCAAATCCAGGTCCCCAGAACGTTATCCAGGTCTCTGGATTTAATAGTCCAGTGATAATACCACTAGGCCATTGCCTCCCCATGGGGGTGAAGGAGAGGGAGATGGGAATGAGGAGCGATAGATATGGGTAAAGTACTGGTGGATGGGTGACAAGGTGGGGAGATGGAAGTGAAGGAAGAGATGATGTGATTGAAGGAGGAGTAGATGTGGGTGAAGAAGAGGGAGATGGAGTTGATGGAGGGGGAGATGTGTGTGAAAATCAGGTACGTGGGGGTGAAGGATGGGGAGAATGAAGGGTAGATGGGGTTGAATGAGGGAAGATGGGACAGAAGAAGGGGTAGATGAGGGTGAAGGAGGTGTAAAGGGAGGTTGAAGGCAGGAGATAACAAGGTATAGAGCGGGATGAACACAGCAGGCCAAGCAGCATCAGAGGAGCAGGAAGGCTGACGTTTCGGGCCTAGACCCTTCTTCAGAAATGCCAGATATCTCAGATTCTCCAGCATCTGCAGTTCCTACTATCTTTGAAGGCAGGAGAGATGGGAGTGATGGAGGTGGAGATGGGTTGACAGCGAAATATGTGGAGATGAAGGAGGGGTAGATGTGGGTGAAGGGAGTAGATGGGTGGAGGGGGAGATTGTGGTGAAGTGGGGAGATGTGTGAAGTAGGGTTAGATGGTGGTAACAGAGGTGATATGGGGGTGAAGGAGATGTAGATAGAGGTGGAGGCAGGGAAGATGGAGGTGCTGGGCTTCTCAGAACCCCGTCTCTATCAATACTAATTTCGTTAAGTAGAGCACAATCTTTCTTCCTGATTTCCATACCTGTGTTGTCCCTCTCACCAGTAAACACTAACACGAAGTATTCGTTTGGAATTCTACAAACAATCCTCATGAACAAATTACCACTATTGTCCTTAATGGGTCTAACTCTTTCCTTTGTTATTCTTTTATTATTAATGAACTTGTAAAATAACTTCAGCTTTTCCTTTATTTAACCTGCCCCTTGTTTGCTCTCCTAATTTCACATATCCCTTTCACATTCTGTACTCCTTTAAGGCTTTTGTTTTGAGATCTCATTATCTCCCTAAGGCTTTTTGTCTGCCCTTGTCCAATCCTGTATGTCCATTGATATTCAGGCTACACAGCTTTTCCTTTATTGTAACATGTTAGCCCTGTATTTTCCCTAATTCCTTCTTGAATGCATCCAAACTGGTCTGATGCAGATTTATTTAGAAGTATTTGCTCCCAGGCCACTCTAACCAAATCATACCTGATCCTATTAAAATCAGCCTTCTCCCAATGGAGATTAATTTCAGGCCCATCCTTGGACTTTTTCAAAACAATCTTGAATCTAACAGAGTTATGATCGCTGTCTGCAAAATGCTCCTCCACTGACACTTTAACTGCTTGCTCAGTTTCATTATCTAAAAATTAAATCCAAGCCTGCCCCCTGTCTTGTAAAGCCTTCTACGTACTGGCTGTCCTGAGTGCATTTTAAGAATTCCGCTCCCCTGAGTCTTGCACATTATGACTACACCAGTTAATTTTGGGGAAGTTGAAATCCCTCACTGTTTCTACCCTGTTACTTTTACGCATCCCTGAAATCTTCCTATGCATCTGCTGTTCTGCTTCTCTCAGACTGTTAAGGGAGTCTACAGTACACTCCCAGCAATGTGATTTCTTCTTTGTGGTTTTTAAGTTCTACCCATACAGCTTTATTTGAGGAGCCTTCTAAGATGTTATCCCTCCTTACTGCAACCAATTCTCCAATCAATATTATAACACACCGTCCTCTTTATTTTTTCTTCCCTGTGTCGTCTGAAGACCCTGTATCCTGGGATATTGAGCTGCTAATCCCGGCCCTCTGTCAACCATGTCTCAGCAATAACAATGACTTCATAACCCCATGTTTTAATTTGTGTCCTCCTGTCTTGTTCATTAGAGTCCGAGTATTAGAATAAATACCAACAAATGTTGCCTAATTCCCTAAGCCTTAACTGGCGTATAATTTTGAGCTTTCCTGACTCTCTGTCTCTTTCAATTTTGGCCATGCATCTTCCCCTGCTGAACTTTCTCTTAGGAACATAGTCTCTGCCAAGTCAGCTTAAACCCTCTGCAATAGCACTAGCCAAACCTCCTACAAGATGTTGATCCCATTCTGGTTCTGGTGCAACCCATCCACCTTGTACAGGTGCCACCGCCACTGAAAACAGATCCAATGTCCCAGAAATCTAAAGCACTCTCTACTGCACCATCTTTCCAGCACGCATTCACCTGGACTAACTTCTACTCACAAGCATGAAGCACTGGAAGTCATCCAGAGATTACTACTTTTTGGATCCTGCTGTTAATCTACTTCTTAGCTCCATAAAATCTGCTTGCAGGATCTGATCCCTTTCTCTACCTATGTCATTGATACCAATATGTGGCACGATCTCCTGTAGTTTGTCCTCCCTCTTCTATTCTGCAGCCATTCATTGACATCCCTGACCCTGGCTCCAGGGAGGCAACATACCACCTTGGAGTCTCTTTTGAGTCCATAGAAATGTCTGTCTGTTCCGTTTGCTACCTAATCCCCTACCACTGTAGTCCTACCATTCTTTTTCCTCCTGTCTTGTGCAGCAGACCCACCCATGTGCTTGTCTGCCACTGCTTTCCCCTGTACAGTCATCTGCCCCAACAGTATCTAATGATAGGGATGGCCACAGCGGACTCCTGCACTACCAATCCTCTTCCACTCTACTTGGTGGTCTCCCATGGCCTTTCTGCCTGTTCAGTCTTCAGCTGTGGCGTGACCACTTCACTGAACGTTCTGCAGTAATTTGCCACATGGTGATAGAATTCTAATGGAGAGATGTCCTTTGCCTGGCTGCATAAGCACCAGCAACAGCAGCTCGCTCAAGCCCTCACTGTCTCTCCATTCTCAGGTTTCTTATCCCGTATCCAGTATTGGATAAGCAGAAATTTCCTTGAATCAAATATTGGGAACACTGAGGTCATTGTCTTCAGTCCCACCATAAACTCCATTCTCTCACCACCAATTCTATCCCTCATCTTGCAACTGGTTGCGGCTAAGGAAAGTTGTTCATGATGGTTTCATGCTTCATCCCAAAATGAGCTTTCAAGCTCAAAACTGCTTCATCACAAAGGTCACCTATTTCCACATATAAAAGTTTGTCTGACTCTACTCCAGTATCAGGCCTCCTGTTGGAACCCTTACCAAAGCTTTCAATCTCTCCAAACTTGACTACATGATGACTCTGGTGGGTAGACTGTGCTGATAATCCAGCCCCACTACTCCGCAACCAATCCCAATGATGTTAATGATTTATTTTATCATCAAAATGACTGATGTGTCTGCTTTTTGTACTCCTGTCCAGAGTAAAAAAATTGTCCACCAAGCTTCTTTACTGAGCTCAAAAATGAACTCATTTATTATAATCAAGAAGACTCATTCTTAAAACAAATGGGAAAATAGGTTATGACTATACTATTCAGAATTGTATTCTCTTAATCTTAACCACATGTATGCATGGTCAGATAAGACAAAACCACCATAGGCCGCAAAGATACTGTGGACTAGAATATTATGGATAGGATATTATGGGCAGTATGGTGGCTCAGAATTTGCACTTCTGCCTCACAGTGTCAGGGACCTGGGTTTGATTCCAGCTTTGGGTGACTCTCTGTACGGAGTTTTCAGATTCTCCCTGTGTCTGTGCGGGTTTCAACAGGGTGCTCTGATTTCCTCCCGCAAGAATTGGAGGTTAAGTGGATTGACCATGGTACATGCAACATTGCAGGGTCTGGGTAGGGTGGAATGCTGTTTGTAGGGTCAGTGTGGACTCAATGGGCTGAATGGCCTGCTTCCACACTGTAAGGATTGATTGTATGAGCCATGATCGAGATACATAAAAAATTATGAAGGGTGTAGATAGACTGGACAGGAAGAAACTTCCCCTTGATAGAGGGATCAGTGACCAGGGGCATTGATTTAATGTAAGGGATAGAGATTTAGAAGAGATGTGAGGTAAATTTTTTTAACCAGAGGGTATGGGAATCTGGGAGGCTGGTAGAGGCAGAAACCCTCCTTAGGACGTGTTTAGATGTGCATTTGCAATGCCATAGCGTACAAGGCTGGCAGATGGGATTGTTTTGACTGTAATGGATGTGATGGGACAAAGAGTCTTTTCCTGTGCTGAAGGTTTCTATGACTCCACTCCTTCAACCTCTTCTCCCCCTCCTTCACTTCATTCTTCCCCTCCTTTACCCGCTTCTCCCCCTCCTCCACCCTGCTCTTCCCCCCTTAATCCTGCTCTTCCCATCCTTCAACCCGTTCTTCCCCTCTCCACTCCTTCATCCCCCTCTACCCTCCTTCACCCCACTTCTCCCTCTTTCCCCCACTTTCACCCCTTTCTACCCCTGCTTCACCCCCTCTCCCTCACCTTCACCCCCAT